ATTAAAACACCGATATCTCATTCCTGGTAGACCACAAGCTATATATCCCCATTAAAACTCTGACATCTGATTCACGGTAGACCACACGCTATATACCCTCATTAAGACACCGATATCTCATTACTGGTAGACCACACGCTATATATCCCCATTAAAACACCGATATCTCATTCCTGGTAGACCACAAGCTATATATCCCCATTAAAACACCGATATCTCATTCCTGGTAGACCACAAGCTATATATCCCCATTAAAACTCTGACATCTGATTCACGGTAGACCACACGCTATATACCCTCATTAAGACACCGATATCTCATTCCTGGTAGACCACACGCTATATATCCCCATTAAAACACCGATATCTCATTACTGGTAGACCACACGCTATATATCCCCATTAATACACTGATATCTCATTCCTGGTAGACCACAAGCCATATATCCCCATTAAAACTCTGATATCACATTCCTGGTAGACCACAAGCTATATATCCCCAATAAAACTCTGATATCTCATTCACGGTAGACCACACGCTATATATCCCCATTAAAACACCGATATCACATTCCTGGTAGACCACAAGCTACATATCCCCATTAAAACACCGATATATCATTCCTGGTAAACCACAAGCTATATATCCTCATTAAAACACCAATATCACATTCCTGGTAAACCACAAGCTATATATCCCCATTAAAACACCAATATCTCATTCCTGGTAGACCACAAGCTATAATCCCCATTACAACACCGATATCTCATTCCTGGTAGACCACAAGCTATATACCCACATTAAAACAGCGATATCTCATTACTGGTAGACCACAAGCTATATACCCCCATTAAAACACTGATATCTCATTCCTGGTAGACCACAAGCTATATATCCCCATTAAAACACCGATATCTCATTCCTGGTAGACCACAAGCTATATATCCCCATTAAAACACCGATATCTCATTAAAACTGGTCAGATTCACAAGTTATATATATATCCCCATTAAAACACCGATATCTCATTCCTGGTAGACCACACGCTATATATCCCCATTAAAACACCGATATCTCATTCCTGGTAGACCACAAGCTATATATCCCCATTAAAACACCGATATATCATTCCTGGTAGACCACAAGCTATATATCCCCATTAAAACTTTGATATCTCATTAACGGTAGACCACACGCTATATATCCCCATTAAAACACCGATATCTCATTCCTGGTAGACCACAAGCTATATATCCCCATTAAAACACCGATATCTCATTCCTGGTAGACCACAAGCTATATATCCCCATTAGACCAACACCGATCCCATCTAAAACACCGATATCTCATTCCTGGTAGACCACAAGCTATATATCCCCATTAAAACACCGATATCTCATTACTGGTAGACCACAAGCTATATACCCCCATTAAAACTCTGCTATCTCATTCACTGTCGACCACACGCTATATAACCCAAGTGAAACACGGATCTCGCAATCCATGTAGACAAGGGGTCATACACCTTTTCTGAACATTGCTATCTTATTCATTACACAGGCAACACCATTAAGACCTCTATTGAAACACTGATCTCTCATTTCTGATTGACTCCAAGCTATGTATTCTTACTAAATCACTGATATCTTATTTCTTATACACAAGGGGGAATAAATCGTTTCGGACATTGCTCTCTTATTCACTATGTAGGCAACAAGATACTTATCCCTGTTATACTAGAAGCTATATACTCCTGTAGAAACGTTGAACCCTTGTTTTAACGTGTAAATCCATGTTGGTAGACTACAAACTGTTTATTCCTGAAATACTGATATCTTATTTCTCATAATCTATAGACTATATAATGAAACTCTGATCATGTATTTCTGATAAACTAAATGCTATATGTTCCAACTAAAGCACTCTCTTATTCCTGGTCGACTGGAAGATGCCTGTCTAAACACCGATTTCTTTATTATAGGTAAGCTATATCTCAGTATTAAAACGCATATATCTCTATTCCTTCCAGACAACAAGCTAGGTCTCTATATTGAACGAACACTTATCTCCCTATTCCTGACAGACTAGAAACTATGTCACGCCACTGAAACACTTGTACCCCACTCCCCACAGACTACAAGCTATATCTATCAACGCGAAGACTGGTACCCTATTCCCGATAAACTAATAGCTGTATCCCTAGTGCTTCATAGACCACTAGTTATATCTCGATATGAACCAAGCTTTACCAATTATAAATGGCCTCCTCTTGTATCAAAACAGAGTTCCTCTGAACACCCTAGCGGATTCTCTCGTTAGTCAAGCGAACACTGTATGTGCAAGTTAATTATGTTTGTAAGGTACACAGTCAGGAGGATGTTATTTTGTGGAACACTTTTAATCAAAACACTTTTGCAATCTGCGTTTGCTTTGAGCACATATGTGAAATTTTGATAAAGAAATGTGTCGTATATTTCTGAAGAGCGATGTACATTTGAAAATATGTTTTTGATAAACGATCCTTGAAAGTCAATTGGATCAAGCAATCGTGATGTGTTACATTGCTGATTGTGTCAGAGATCGTTGAAAGTGTAGATTGGTGCTTATGTTATCAACCATTGGTTTGTATAACCCAACCCTGATAATTTAATGCGATATATATTAGATATACATGACATCCATCATATTATACCAATATATATCATGTGCAAATATTTTGGTCTGGTGTTTTGCTGGAACATTTTTGCCGATATGTAAGTATGCTGGTCTGATGTATGTGCTGGGAAGATTTTATCGAAGGTGATATACATTTACTTGGAATAATCTAATCAGACAGGTCAGTGGGTTGTACATTTAACACTTAATGCAGGTAAGACAGCAGGGTGTACATTTGCCAGATCCTTCATCTTTCATCAAGGGAAGTCGGCATTGCAATGTATATAGCAAGTTGGGGTTATATACAATATCATGTAGATTTGGTAGATTAGGGGGAAGCGAGTTCTCAGGATCAGTGAATATAGAGTTGGTGTTTCTGTAATACACTGGATGTAGTTTAAACTATCGCTTATTAACATCGACAAATCACGCATGTTAAATTTTGTTAAATATATCAACAGATGATTACGGAGATGATGAGGCTGACGTGATTATGCTATCAGAACACATTGACACTGTTGGTCCAGAAGGTCACACGTGCTGCTCACATCATTTCGTAGAAAAAGGCCGAGGAGGCTATTGGGAGGGTAGTCCAAAACATATTGCAAAGGAGCAGGTAAAACATGCCAACGGTTTCAGTTTCTGATGACCAATTTACATAGAAATATATAGCAAGGGGTGTTTCACCATTACAATTGGGAATACCACATATATAAAAGGAAATAGTTTTTCTCTGTAGATATAACTGTTCAGCAAAACAAAACTTTATCTTAACTAAACACAAAACGTATATTAATACGGTTTATAATGAGATTAAACCACCGACATAGCGTAATCGGTGTCTGCACAGGACGTCGACCATTGGGTGAAATGTTATGGTTCAGGTAAGAAAAAAGGTCGACGTCCTGTCCATTTGACCTTATACCAATTAACAGGGGATTAAACAAGACAAAGAAATAATCCAGTGTTTACACAATGTGATAATCCGGATTATGTGGTTGAAAGCACGACCACAGGAGAAAAGTATTATATTTCGTCCATTTTATATCATACAAAATCATCCCACATGAAGGAGGTGAGATGCAGCATCTGCAAACTCTCTGGTGTTGATTTGTCCACTCCTCAGATCATGCCTAAGGACGTCCAGGCGACGTTCCAAGTCCCTGTATTACTTTTTCTTCAATTGATGTTTTTGTCCACCGCTTAACTGTAACAGGCGGACTTCAGTGTGAGTCTGCCATTTCGAACATGAATGTAATCTACCTCGAGTTCTTTCCTTATAAATCCAAACTGAATGACATTGTAAAAATCACTCTCATATGATAACATTGATGACATTGATGACATTTTGTGTGAACTACGTGGTGAACTACGTTCACGCCTTACGCGATGCCCACATTATGGACAATCTTAAAACAACATGTACGGGCGGAATTAGCGTGACTCTAACAACACCTTCGACATCAAAGTATGCCGCAGGTCGACTTCGTGTCCATAGCGAAATTTCAAAAGGTCGACTTCGTGTCCATAAACCGCGTAATCTTACCGAGTCTCTGTTGTTCGGAGAAAGATTTAGAGTATAGTAAAGCGAAATTGGTAATTGCATAGATTCTGAGTGTTAAATTAGATAATTTGTCATGCTATGTATGTTTATACATTGACCTGGTATTGTCTTCTTTTTGGGGGAACCTTTTAGTTCATTGAAATCACAGCTTGATATGTAAACCCCCCCAAAAAAACAAGAAAAAAACGCGGAGTGGTGCAAGTCTTAGACATTTACAACAGGAGTACGGTTGTGATACATGTAACCAGAAACGATAATCAAGGCAATCGTGGATTCGAACCTATAATCAGAGGTTTTTGACGCGCAAAAGGTAGGCAACTGGGCAGCGACTTGCCGCGCGATGTCCCACCGGCCATACATACTTCCCTTTGTTTCAGGTCTAAAGATCCTAATTACAGGTGGGATCGGCGGTTTATATATTAAGGTGAGCCCAGTAGTCAATTATACAGACAAAGAAACCAGGCATCGGTTGTTTTATCATAGAGATATGCATCCTGATCATAGAACGTTATACAGATATTCATATTAGATGTCTGTATTCATTACAGACACACACGTGGTAAGTAACAGCGACAGTGTGTTACGAGAAACACGTGTCAGGTGAAATCGTTATGGTGATTAATGTGACTCAGAAGCTATTGCAGAATTCATATTGCCAATTAAACAATACCGACCTTCCGCTGACAGTCACATGACAGTCACGTGAAGCATTCGTTAGTGGCGCCAGATTAGGACTGTAATTAATCGATACCACTCTAGTCAAGACGCCAGCTTCAGGACAGTACAGGTTCGAGAGCCTTGATCTGGGAATAAATAGATAGTTGAGTAGTCTGATTGGATATAAATATGTGATAGAGGTAATGATTGCAGTGCTGTGGCGTGCTGGCGAAGCCGGACAGCGCTACTACCAGGGCAGGTGTGGGACTTGGGCTCCCGGGGACTCCGCACTCCGACAGCCTGTGCGTGAGAGGGTTGTGAGGGAGGCCAGAACGCGGCTGTTAACTCGGGAAATCTCAAGCCCTCATGCAGACGAGGAAGTCACACCCGTGTGCTGGATGTAGTGTCGTACCCGAGGGACGGACTCTTACGTTTCCACATCTTCTGGCCACCACGTGTCTACCGCCGGTCTCCTCCAGGACCTGTCCTCTGCGATGGACGTCGTCTCTTCAATTTGCTCACGTTGGGTGCGTACATATCTTGTATGTCATTACATGTGTTTCCCACAGCACCAGCGGCAACTGAGAGGCACAACCAGTGATTTCCCTCACAATGTTAACACACTGTGCATTGTCCACCCACCGTATGTTGTAGAGCCCAGGTATTGCTAGTGTAAGGAGTATTGATTTCCAAGCTTTGGGAAAGAGACAGTCGAAAAGGGCACAGAGGCTTCCTCGCTCGCTGACACACCGTTCTGTTATGACATGCACACTCAGCGATAGTTATTACACTTCATACCACGAACGTATTGTATACGCTTTGTGCTACCTGATACTACATTGTATCTTCAAACTATCTGGTCCACGCCCCCAACCACACAGTGATCTCCTCGGAATCCTACCCTGTGTACAAACTATTCTAATGTATTAATGCCGCACCTTAGAGTACTCAATGGGAGTCACAATGACAGTCAAGCCCCGCATACATTGTCCATTAGAATAGTTAGATCCTGAAAACATGTTTCCGAAATATTCCAGGGAAATATTTTTCCATACCAGTTGAACCCCTGGATGACATTTGATAGGGTTTTGCTGCAAGTGCTGTAGGAAGTGCCAGGGTTATAAATAGGATTAGAGACGCTGTCAGTGCCGCGCCGGTGGGAGGGGAGAACGTGGTGGTAAGTGTCTCGTTCTGCCGTCACTGGCGAAGTGATCACTGTTCATGTTGTTGATGTTGTACCCGAGTATGTACCATCCATGGCGAATCTGAACATCGTATATAGGATCAGGGTTGTTTTGATCGCTGGGTAAACAGTGCGTACGTTGCACGTAATGTTACGCCGTGTTTCATTGTCTTGGTAACCGTTAGATTATTCGTACGTCGTACATATTTTGTCAAAATTTGTAGTTTTCATAAGTTGATGGATTGTGCATACACCGTAGGTTGTTTCACAATGTCTAGATTGTCTTGGAGTATATAGTGTCATTATGTATGGCTAGCCATTAGGTGTTGTGTACGACGTATTGATACGTATTACAAAAAATCACACGCTATTGGTGTAGCCGTTTGATGGGGATCTCATTGCTCATAGTGTCTCTGTGTCTATCTACCCGTTATATGTACACGTCGTAAGTATTGCTCATAGTGTCTCTATGTCTATCTATCCGTTATATGTACACGTCGTAAGTATTGCTCATAGTGTCTCTATGTCTATCTAACCGTTATATGTACACGTCGTAAGTATTGCTCATACTGTTACGAGGGCAAGCAGTACGACATTTCTAATTGTACACGATCTGGCTAATACCGTTGTCTCCTAATTCTGACTTCACTACAATGTCCTTACGTATCTCCGGAAACAAGTCGTTTAAAACAACATCTTCATTTTCAAATTGAAATGTTGGCCCAAAGTGTGTGAGTGAGATATAAATGCATGCCGCATGATGTCAAGTTCAGTTGTGAACCTAAATGAATTCATTAAGATGTACATAAATTATTTGACTGACATTTCATCTGGCAATCCCCGGCTCACTACGGTGATTGGATTTGTATAATTATGTAGCCGAATTCCAGATCTATGTGTGGCTGCCATACACAAACCTTTCATCGTGTTCTTAAACCATTGTGTTAGAAACCGCCACGACAGCTGGTCTGAAACTATGTTGATAGACAAAAACAGCTTGAAATGTTTTAAGTCATCCTTGTCAGAAAGGATATCATTACCAACCACCATACTGCGGCAAACCTTTCTGCTGAAAGCATCACGGTAGGTCAGATGATAGTTGAAGTGTATGGAACCGGGGGAAACACTTTACATATGCATGTGGTGATACGTACTTCAATGTAAAAAAGTCTGTTACGGCATAAAAAAACGTGTTTGACATGTTAAGCTCTAAGCGTGTATGGAATTGTGTTTAAAACCTTAAGGGAACAAAGGTTGTGCGCGTTTTATCTTAACACGTTTAGGATCTTAATACATGAAAGGGGCTAGGATTTCTTTAAATTCTCCAAACATCCCTTAACGTTCCGTCTGTGGAGGTCTAAACATTTTTAGCTCTTAAGCACATTTAGATCATTTAGATTATGACCATGTGTAAACTTGAAAGGGTTTCAGGAAGATCTTCTGTCATTTAAATGGGTATATGAAACCTATGAATAGCCGTAGGTAAGTAGGAGAGTGGATTTATGGCCGCTGTGAACATATTCCAGGTACGATGAACATTGAGAAAATACTATCACATCATAATTGCATTAAAGATAAGCCAGAATATATATATATTCATCCATTTTTAATAGGATTTTTCCGTCTGAAGCTAACTTTTTTAACTGAACAATATTTTAATGATATTTTCTCGTCGAAATATTTGACTTTGTACAGGACTGTTTTACTCTCAGTGAATTGTAGAAAGGTACTTATTTAAAGTGACATGTGTTAACTTGGAAGCTCTTGGAATTGCCCTTGATGCTGAAGTCTTGCAATATTTCTTTTTGCTTCTACGAATATACAACCGAATAGTAGTTACACCAGCTGAAGGTCATGACAGAACTATTCAAGAATCTAAAAATTTGGATTTGGTTCTCAACTCGTTTATATTATGAACACTTCAAATATTTTTTACGAATGTATTGACGTGTTTAGGCCCCTGATCGCGGTTGCGTTACCATCATGTGCCAAGGAACACCACGGGGTTTGTGTTTACAGTTTTCATACAACGTGAACAAAATGAGGTATCGCTTTGTGTCGACAGTTCTAAGATGCATGTAGCTCAGATTGAAGTTTGCTATCCGTGTAACAAAGGTGGGAAGTGCTTAAAGCATTTTCTCGTCACGATGATTCCCCCATGTATAAGCTGCATTAGATTCCTGCTTCCCCGTGCGGTGCCGTGATGTTGCTCCAACATCAATACCGTCATTGTAAAACAATACTCTTTCAATCACTTTCCATACAAGCCATATGAGATTTGCACGGACGAGGTCGTCACGTTCAGTTCCATTACTGCAAAACCCCATGAAGATCCGGGTTAGAATCGAAACCCATGTTTGTCATAGGAGGCAACTAACATGATCGCGTGCCAAGGCTCTCTGCCTTGTGTAATGTAAGTCCTCATACCAAAGTTGCATAGATCAAACAAATAAACAAACAAATTTGAAAACCCCCGATAATGTTGTTTATGTATTGTATAAATTATACAATACGAAGTAAGAATAATTCTCATGAAGTGTAGTTCACAGAACGATTCAATGGTTTTCCAGTTGTTTATTTCGATTCATTGAGGTAAATAGCATTAAATGTTAGCTGTTAAAATTCCCAGAACAAACAACCACTTACTGTTTAGGGAAAATATATCGTTTCATATGATTATGTGTTATCTCGCCGAAGACCTTGCTATCATCTTGAAAGGCTACCATAAACGTGCCCTAAAGTGTCTGAACGTACACGCTGTAATGTTGTCTAAAAAGCGTTTCGTACCTGTAGGTGGTTTATATATACATTATATACACATCCATACTTCGCCAGACCTACCTTCCACTGTAAAATAATGCGCAGCAGATCTGTTGAAGTCATCTCGACTATACTGCTTTGTAGAAGCACGAGACTCGAGGAAAACAATAACATTTCCAACAATAATGCTGGTATCTCAAGTAGAAGAAAATCTGTTGTTGAATCAATGATAATTACTTTTGTTTTTTTATTCTATCCGACCGTCTCACCGTTACCGAACGAGACATGTCTGTGGACATGATCATATGCAAATTGTTGCTCGCAAGGGTTTCCTAAGAAGTGCTCGTCTCTCCACGATGGTTCCCGGAACTTATGGAGTGCCTCACGCGACAAAAGCGTGGTGTCTGCGCGGGTGATATTAGACACAGTCGGCATTCCCATACATTTAATTGACGGACATTTTTGTTGGTAAAAGGCAGAATAAAACAATAAACGGCAAGCGCAAGGTGATGAATAAGGCATATGTACCATTCAATAACACGCCATGAATTGCATTTTAGAATACATCCATTTGTATTGCAAAGATGTGCAACAAGAACACGCGCCCATGTTGCTTTCCGATTGAAAAATTACGACCTAATGTCGGTAATTTTAAACGAACAGATTTTGGGCTGTGTATAATTTTGTGCCTGTAATAGAACTGGAGACGTGTTTCAAACATCGATGTAGCTTTTGGTGTAACATCCCTTTTTTGCTTGATCTTGATGGATTGTAATCTTTGAGAAGCTCACAGGGGCCTTTTGGCACTACGCCATTGGTAGACTGGTGTCAGAGACATGATGCTGTACTCAAGTCCTTCTGCTAAAGGCAATCAGTGAGAGGACATCGGTGTGACTGGAGCAGCGAGACGATCCTGAGACAACACCAGCAGCTGTGACCTCTGCATTCTCACCGGCTACATGGTGTCATGGCTGGACGGTGATTCCTGAAAGTAGTTGGTTCATCAATTTTACCCTTAATTTTGTTCCTTTAGTATTTTTTTCTTTGTGAGGAGGATACGAATAAGAGTTCTCCGAAGGCCACGGTGTTTGATTAACCCTCCATACGTTCAGTGTCAGATCTGGAAAGACAGATGGAAACCGCCATGGTATCTCAGCACAAGACTTTTCCTGTTCTTGTTTTGTGTTGCATACGTTGGTCCTGCATATAATTTTTGTGATCCGATATATTTTCTTCCAATTTTGCTCAGGAGTACGGAAAAAAAGCGAAGGAAGAATGGTCTTGTTTCTTTTGTTGTATTTGCTTCTGAAAATGTTCATAATGTATCGTTGTTTCGCTGCTCAATGTATGTCCAAACACAAGTGGAATTCACATTGTGTTTATGATAATGCTTGTATTGTCCTGGAATGTCATCTGACATTTGTGATCAGTGTATTATTGTAGGACTTACAAAATAGTGTATGGCCGTATTAGTCATCACTGAGATAGGAGATGACCATGCCGTTTTATCAGGCATGTTTATAGGCATCATCGACCATGTTGATTCCTGTGTTGAATTGTAATGTTAAGTGTGGGCATTTTGAGCAGCATTTGACCATGCTTTGATTCCCCAAGAAAATTCATGATCTCCCACTTGATGTATGATAATATACTGAACAGCAAAAGAAACGCAAGTCTGGCTTTTTGTCAAGTTTTTGAATAGAAGACAACCCAAATTATGTCTAATCATTTATTCTATAGAAAACACTGTCAATGTAACAGCTAAAGTTGCTGTTGACATTAAATTGCAATATGTTCAAATTGATCACAGTCCGTCAAATGGAGATACCCCTGAATGCGAAAAGTGACAGTCTCTTTAGTAGCGCGTATAGCCACCTTGAGCTCGCACACAGGCCGTGCAACGTGACCTCATTGAGTTCACTAGAGTCTGAAAGAATGCCTGATGCAACTGGTTCCGCTCAAACACCAATCTCTATTCCAATTGTGCAAGTGTGAGTGGCTGTCTACCTGCAGCAATCCTCCGTCCAATTTCGTCCCAGAATGTTCAATGGGAGCCATATCCGGGGAAAGAGACGTTAATGTTGTTCTGAGCCAGATAATCCATCGACACCCTTGCTGTGTGAGGGCTGCAAACGTCGCTGGCGTTGTTGACGTGCCAAAATTGGCCCCAATATGGCCTTCGGTAGTGGATTCCAGCAGCCCGACGACGACGCCTATGTATCACTTGGCGCTGCTCCCCTTGACCCAAGAACTAAGGCTGCTTTTACTGTTGCTGCTTCAGTTCGGTTCCTTAGATGAGTGCCCCGGATGAATCGATGTTGCGCATGAGTTGTCACTCGTTGCCGTCCGGTACGGGGACGATCAGCAGCATCCCGCTTTGCTGATGACGTTGAGGAAGTCGTGTAATGGTGGTAAGCTGACAGCCCAATTGTCTAGCCACAGCGGTTGCAGTGCTATCTCCGTGTAACTTTCCAATGGCCATTCCCCTCTGCTCAGTCGTTAGTCTAGGCATCGTTTGTGTGGCGTGTACACCTCCTAGCGTCAATACTGAACTGTTTTTGACACAAACCTTTATAAAGGATACCTCAGAGTGAAATGCATGCTTTTCATCCATAACCGTCGATGCACGTGCTAAAATTATGGTTTTGCTGCACTGTTGGTGTGTTTGTGCGAATGTTTCGTATGGACGTCAAATTGTATGACATCATCTCATCTGGGATCATTACGTCACTTTACCATGAACGTTCCATAAACATGCACGCTTACCTTCATGAGATTTCATTTTTTTCGAAACTTGCGTTTCTTTTGCTGTTCAGTATATTTCCGAAAGCCCAAACATATCTTACTATGATAGGGAACCTGCAGAATGTGGGACGTCATAGAGTGTGGTCAGGCTTGTGATTCCTTGATAAAACAAGCCTATTTAAGCATGCATGTATGTGCTTGCATTCTGTACATGTATTAGAAGGGACGTGATAATCCACCTGACCTCGGGTCAGTAGATACTATCTTGGCACAACTATTTAACCTTTAGTTTCGTTTGGTGCAAATTTGGCGTAAATCCAAAACTGGTGAAAATTATATGAATGGATCACTAAAAATCAGTGTTGACACCGGGTGTTCGTCAAAAACGTGAACATGCCTTGTGAGCAAATGATGAGTTGTAACTATTTCAATACGGATGGTTTATATAATTAAAGTTACATTATAACAATACTGGTGTATGTGAAAGTACATATAATAAATACAGCGTGGGTTAGCAGAAACAACATCACTAGTCCTTTTACCCCAAAAAACCCCAAAGCAGCATAACACAATAAAGTTGCAGTTATGTTCTTGTAAGGCCTTTACAGTGTAACACATATCCATATGGCTGTTGGCAAGTTCTCCCACCACGTCGCTACATGCATGACAACGTCCCCCACGACAACCAGGCTTGTCAATGATGATGTTGTTGCTCCTGCTCCGGGCCTCTCACCGCATTGCTGTCGCATCATGTTCGATGGCGTAAAAGGAATGCTTGAGGTATTCTCTGTCACTTTGCCACTGCGAATTAAGCAAAGTACTGCTCCCGGGATGAAGCTTGTTACGAAGTCTTCTTCCGTGGTGCCCTACATGCCGCTCATATCGTTTAAGATTGACATCCTCCACTCACTGTTTTCCCTGGGTCCCACAATGGCCTGCCGCCATTGGCCCATGTCACCGTGTTGTCCTCCGTCCCCGTTGCACTGCAGCTATTTACGTATCTCGCGTACCCCAAAAGTCTGGAACAAATATTATTCAATCTCGCCCACCTAATCCGCTGGTCTACCTATCTCTATCCATCATAATACTCCACGTATGTAACCTAACGGTCATATAATGCAATAGTCGATCGTCGTTTGTAGCTTACATTGTCTGAGACCTCTACAAGATTAGCCCCTAACATTGACATGACCCAATATTGCCTCACACCGACATTGTGGTTGATATGCCACAAAAGAGCACCTTCATCATATTTCCGTCTTGATTTTTTCTTTGACGTATACCTCTTTAGTAGACATGGTTAAACGTTCAACATTTAACTCTTTTTGCGTTGCAATGTTTGTTGAAAAGAACACTTGATTTACTTGTTGCCTCACGAGCTAAGGAATTAGGACGAAAGCACACCTGGCGATATCTTCCTGTTCTAAGTGATGACGTTTCTCGTCTTTCCATATGCTTGTGAGTGTTCAGTATACCACTGTTTGGTATTATTCCACGCCGACACTGGTAACTAACGACAGAGGAGACAAGGAGATATCGCATGTTAATTGCTGAAGCTGTCAGAGGAATTGGTTGTGTTGAAACGAAACTGACAAGAGTGACACTGAATATGTATTCACATATTATTCCAGAGCTATAAGCGTGCTCCTCGTCGACATAGTTGCTGCATGATCTGGCACCATGGTGTTGTTACAGAAACACTTCTGCCCAGAAACGTCATTGTTTTGCTGTTACCATAACAACCCGAAAAAAGGTGATAATGTGATTACTATGGCAATTTTGGTTGCTAATTGAACAACTATAACCCGACAATAAGGATGTATTGCCGAGCCTAAAAGCGGTGATGCTGATTGTCCTTGGGCACTTTCACAACACAAAACTACAAATACGAGGCGAGTACTGTTAATTGCAAGTGACGCTGATTGAGTTTTTCTAGCTCGCTATACACGTTATTAATCAGTGATATTTGCGTCCCAGGGGAACATAATTTACGTAACTGTATCCGGTTGTACGCTGTCCAGAGGACCTTGTAGATAAGATTTTAATATGATAATATAATAGAGCTGCATTTGGGATTTCGGATTGTTCGATAAATGATTGTGTTCCTTATAGCCTCTACTTAAGTGTTCTGTTTTGTATGTAACATACGAGTATTAGTGGATGGTGTCACTTCTCTGTTTAGGGTAATGTATCATCAGTTGCTCTTTATGCTTGGAGTGGATGGAGATGGTGAAATATATGATTCCATTTCAAATACCCGAATCTTACATCCCTTAAAATACATAGAGGAAGGACGCCCATTCAGTCCCGTCTTTGTTCCAGAAGTACCATCTATTGAGGGCCCGTTGGTACAATTGGTACAAATATACCGTTAACCTTTTGTTTTTTAGGACTGAGGACATTCCTCTTCTAGTGGACCATTGGCGAGATGTTTGTTTACGGGTTCCTGTCAACGTTGCTGTTCTTTCTTAGCTTGTGTGGTAAGCATTACCGAAAGACGAAAACATACGCCATTATGCACAGCACACAGTACTATACACATTGACGTGATCACCATTGTTCCACGAAGATCCAATTTTTCCCCCACACGACACCAATACCTCCTGGATCTCGGTGATATTCGCCATCACATATCTCTACGGGACCGCCTCCGTGGTGTAGTGATTAGAGCGTCCGCCCGGAGAGCGGACGGTCGCGGGTTCTATCCCCGACCGCGTCATACCAAAAGACGTTAAAATATGGTACTTGTTGGTCCCTGCCTGACGCTCGGCATTAATGGGAACAACAAGGACTGGTCGGCACGGAGTCAGTATAATGTGTATTCATGCTTCACTGCGGCATGGTATCTCAGTGAGCTAGCACTATAAAAAAACCCAGCTTAAGTCTAGGCTAATACAAGCGGCCGCACATACACATACACACGCATGCACGTCGTCATATGAGCGAAATAATCTCAAGCACGACGTTAAACCCAATTTCACCTCACCTCACCTCCAACACTACGGAACGATGGAACCAGTACCACCTGGTGTTCTGTGGTATTCGTCATCACATTTAACTTCCAGCAAGATAGTACACGTATGCATTATTAGTGTGATGTATGGCAGGTGAAGATATGAATCCATCACCTTGAGCAACATGTAAAGATACAAATGTCGGTGGAAAGGAATACCCAGTCTAGACTTCAGAAACAAATTCCGTTTGGTGTAGAGGGAAAAGCAGATCAGAAAAGAAATATGAATGGATCACTGAGAATGACACCAGGTTTTCGCAAAAATGGTACGTCCTACCTGCAGAACACGCTATTCACCCCAAATGCCGAAAAACGGGAGTATTTGAGCCTGACGCCGCACCTTGCGAAGATAGCCAATAAACAAACAGACAATCCAGTGATTGACGGAACAGAAAATCCAGTTAGATAATTTTGAATTACGACTACTGTGTGGAAGTACAGAGCTTTATATCTATACTCATAGTAAAGAAAAACGTTAGTTAATAGATTTGTTTTACAACATATTAGGGGACACTTTTAATTGTAAAGACACGCCTTCACCACCTACTGTAAATTGTCATGTGATGACATTGTGATGACATGTTCCCATCACCACTGTAACATGCTTCAGCATGTCATACATGGCGATAGATCCGTTACAAAGTACAACATGTTATGTTTGACCAAGTAAGCATTACCCGTGGCAGCCTGACATGTTATGTGTATATATATATTTCAGATTCCAAACGTCCAATAACGACACTGTCCTATGAAGATCAGCTTGTGAAAGAAATCCTGCACAAATACCGCGTGCGAGGCAAATATGGCCGCCCAGTCCGGCGTTTCAATGACACTCTGAAGGTCGCGTTTGGAATGCAGTTGATACAGATCATGGATCTGAATGAGAAGGATCAGATTCTGACGCTGAACGTATGGGATCAGTATGTAAGTATACGTCTCAAGTCAACGGACACTGCACCACATTCACGGATGCACGCGGCACTATCACGTTGTTTTCCTTGGGCAGTATTGCCATACATCTTTACTAAACTAGCACGCCACCGGCACCACCTACACATCTGAAATAACCGTTCATGTACATATCTCAAGAAATCACATCCTGGATGTATTAAATAAGCACGTGTTGAAAGTCCTAATGAGTCCCTACAACTGTTTATGTAAACAACATTTAAGCACATGTCAGGTGTACGCATGAGTATCTGATACAGTTGTGACGATTATGCAGAAACCATGTGTGCTGGGTTCAGCCCCAAATATGTCATGTCATATTTCACTCGTACTTACTCCCGGATGTCGTCGATGTAAAGTTTCACCGGACGTGAACTGCAGTCGGGTGATGATGATAATATGTGCATTACTTCAGAATCAAATCTCATGGGCCCTCTCATGGGCATGCTTTCCAAAATTAATGATAGTTTGGTTTAGTATAGTTTATATAGTATAGTATAATGAATGTCGATCCCTGCAACGTGACAAGGGTTTATTGTTGAAGCCCTGTAAATATTCAGCAACAGAAACGATCCCCAGTTGCTCATGCTTGCAACATAGATGGCGATCAAGGATGCAAATCTCTTGAACGTGTCATCGAATCATAAGTGTGGGGATGGTCACTCATGACGTCACTCACTTGTTGGTCCGGCCAAGATCAGATTGTTTTCTCTAGTGTTAAACAGCATCGCATCTATACATTACGACGTTGTTTCACTGTATCAACATCAACAGCTGAGATATTACTGACTGGACTTTAAACATTAATCACTATTTAAGTCTCTACAAATTTGACCCCAATCCTGGCACAGCGTGTTAACTCCGGGAACTCTTATAGCCAGACATGAAATTAATATATTTCTTCCTCCTTTCCAGACTGCCCTCCATCCTACACATTTATGAGCCCAGTGTGAACGATTTAAATGACTGTTACTTCCTGGTTTCAGTTTATTATTGAGTCAGTTGTTCCTGCCTCTTATTTTATCTTACTTTCAGATCAGCGTTGTGTGTTACTTTTGAATATGCCTCACGAGATTAAAGCAAGGCAGTATAGATCAATACGGTTTACATGTATTAAAAAATGCATGGTGGTCAAAACATCATTTTGCCATAATATTAAGCTGTTATGTGTATTATTGTATGATATTTTCTATAATAAGTGAAATGTGAGGTGAGGGGATATGAGGTTTAACGTTTAACGCATTTTATTGCTAAAAGAACAACCCGCATGCACTTGTGTGCAGGTGCAGGTGACTGTATGTGTATTTGTGTGCGTGTGTGTAGGTGGGTAAGTGCATGAGGGTTACATACCTTAGCCCTCCGATAAACCATGCCGCACAGAAATACACAACTGAGACTTACATACTGACTCAAAGCCAACCAGTCCCTCTCCACCCTCGAAATACTGTCAGAGCGTTCGGCAGCTTATAACATATACTAACATCTGCATATGTATGTAATATGAAATTTCCTCACCAGCTCAGAATTAGGTGTTCATTCGGTTTGTGAAAATTCCAAAGTTTGTTTGTTAATAGATTTTATAATTTTAAATATATATGAACATGTATTCTCACAATCATGATCGTCTTTCCTTTACAAGTTGTATTCTGGTTTGCATGTTGAGATAGGTGTAGAGGTGAAAGAACAGGCTCAAACTGGAAGATAATTTGTGTTCCGCAATTTAAATGTTATAATTGAGTAGGTCGATAACAGGTGTAATTGAGTAGGGTGATAACGTCTGTAATTGAGTAGGGTGATAACACGAGTAATTTAATAGGACCACGGAAGAAATAATTGAGGAGGATGACAATATGGGTAATAGAGTGCATCGTCGTTTCTTACCATTTCAGACTCTTTACAAAATGTGCAATATGTACGTACTTTATTAGATTATCAACAGCTGATGAGGAATAAAATTAAGCCATGTGGAAATACCATCAATATAGCCAGAAAATATCATTTGTATAACCTAGTTATGTGTCATTCATTTGCCTTAACTAAATCGTCAAAGAGATGAAGGAGTAATTATGGTACTCTACTCACAGACGAGTGCTTACGAAAATGTTTAAATGGCAATTTCTTTGAAAAACACATTTACTCAATGCAAAAAAGTAACATTATAAATTCAGTACATATTTCTCAACTTAGTTGATATATACTAGGAAAATATATTCTTAGATTGTAAATAATTTTGTGAAGAAATATTTTTGCTGAAAGGTGTTTGATTCGTCGAATCAATGTGGCAATCCCCAGGACGATTTGGAACTTTACATTGTCCAAGAACGACAGTAAACAATGTACACGTCAGCTAATCATGAACAATCCCATTGTGTTAGCTCCTCCGAACGTCTTTTCATCATCAATTCTCATTTGCAAATGAAAGTATCACAACCCTTTTCCGTAATCAGAAAGTAATCCCTACTTTAAGCCAAGTCCATCGCGCGATTCCCACCATATCATAATCATGTGCTTATAAATCACAATCATGTAGTGATTTCACCAAACATCATTTTTGTCACGTCAAAATCTGATGCATCAAATTATGAAATGTCCTCCACATGTCTACTATAAAACTCTTTTTGAAAGCAGAACATGAATTGTTGAATCGGTTGAAAGGTGGTTAAGGACTTAAACACGAACTGCAGAACGTTGTATTGCAGGAGAAAATAAATATGTTCATGAATTATCTGTTATTTAACAGTGGGTAGTAGCGAAGGTGCATTAAACAGTAAAATAGAAATGATTGTAAGTTTAAGGGTGGGATTACATATCAGTATCTGGGCAACTTATATCGAGGAACTATTTTGTTGCCAAAGTTTGCTTGAGTCGAATATAAATGACGAGAAAATGGTTAATCAGTAGAGTACAATATTAGCAAATAACACTGAGACAACATTAGCAACTGATAAAATAACAACACTAGCGATGATAAAATGACAACATTAGCGATGATAGAATGACAACATTAGCGATAATAGAATAACAACAGTGGGGAATGATAAAATGACGTTAGCGAATGATAAAATGACAACATTAGCGATGATAGAATGACAACATTAGCGATGATAAAATGAAACATTAGCGATGATAAAATGACAACACTAGCAATGATAAAATGACAACATTAGCTATGATAAAATGACAACACTAGCGATGATAAAATGTCAACATTAGCGATGATAAAATGACATGAGCGATGATAAAATGACAACATGAGCGATGATAAAATGACAACACTAGCGATGATAAAATGACAACACTAGCGATGATAAAATGACAACAGTAGCGATAATAGAAAGACAACAGTAGGGAATGATAAAATGACAACGTTAGCGAATGATAAAATAGTATCATTAACAAGTAACAGGGTAACATGAGAACCTTGTAGGAGTACAAAATAGGGGTTATTCTGAAGTGATAGAACGGCAGCAGCTGAAAGTATGACATCATTAACAACAAATATGTTCTCATCATTATCAACTGATAGGATACCAACAGGGGTATTCCAGAATGATGACAACATTAGCAATCGAGCAGAACGGACAATATGAGTAATTGAATTGCTTTACAGCACTGAATAAGCTTGTGCTATTTGCAGAAATGGAGAGATGACGACGTTGAATGGAACAAGACAAAGTATGGAGGCGTGGATAAGGTCCGCATTCCCTGGAGCAAGGTTTGGCTGCCTGACATCAAACTGTACAACTAGTGAGTGTTTGTTGTTGTTTGCGGTAGAAATTGCACACCGCAAGAGTCATTCCTGCATGAAACAGATAAGGAATGTTCTTTCGCCATTTTTTATATGTCGGCGTTGATGGAAATTACAAAGCAATACGTGTGCCAACTGAATATGTTTTTCTCTCGGCTGGCTGTGAGTCATCATTATTTACCGCCTCTAATTGAAAATCAAATATTAGAACTGGCTAACAGTGTACATGCCACAAGTAGAAATACCTTCTCCCTTTCTACAGGGAGCGTTGACCTTGAAATAGTACTAACCTATGTTGTTAGAACTTTTTGTCTGAACAATTAGAACGTGCCCTTATTCAAACCCACATATCAATTTTGCAAGCAGTGGTATTCTTGTGGCGGCCGCACTCCCCTGTATATTTGCGCGGAAACCAATTCGGCGTATTTTGTATATATTTATTTCAACTCAAGTAGGTTGGGTTGTATTGTGGTTAAAGTGTTCGCCTGTAGCACCGACGGTCCATGTTCGCTTCCACTCATGGGTACAATGTGTAAAGCCCATTTCTGCTGTCACCAACTGTGGTACTGTGGGAATATCGCTAAAAGGAAAAAGCATACACTTAATTTGAAGTGTATTTGTCTTGTACTTACTTGGTTTGTAAACAGTGTCATGTTGTACTGGTATTTCTGAAGATGTAATGTAACTTACGTTCAAGTGTTCGCTGAATCTTTTCAGTGTCTGATACAGTTTGAATTGTTAACTCTTTCTTTATCAAGATAATTCGTGTACTGATTCAATCCATGGATTCGTTTTTCTGTTAAGATTGATACAGATATCAAGTTTGTGTGCCAATTATTTTTACGACGTTGATACTGTCAATAGTACCCAACAAAATATATTTTTGCGATACTTGTTTTGCTGCCCTTTTAACATAGAGACAGATATTGTTGTTATATAATGTGATTAAATGGAGCCCAATGCTTAGAGTACACAAATGTAATTGTTAGGCGTATTGACGTGTTCCACTGAAAAACTTGCAATAGGCGTGTTCTACTGGAGTTGCGAGTTCGAACTTGATGAACAGCAGTTGGGATTACAAGTTGTCTTGGTGTGTAGGAAGTTGTGGATGTGCTCCACTAGAGATGTGAATAGTGGGAGGCGAATGTGCTTTACTTGAGTTGTAAATAGTGGGAGGTGAATGTGCTTTACTTGAGCTGTGAGTAGTGGGTTGTGAATGTGCTTTACTCGAGTTGTGAATAATGGGTTGTGAATGTGTTAAATTGAGCTGTGAGTAGTGGGTTGCAAATGTGCTTTACTCGAGTTGTGAATAGTGGGTGGTGAATGTGCTTTACTTGAGCTGTGAGTAGTGGGTTGTGAATGTGCTTTACTTGAGTTGTGAATAGTGGGTTGTGAATGTGTTAAATTGAGCTGTGAGTAGTGGGAGGCGAATGTGCTTTACTTGAGTTGTGAATAGTGAGAGGTGAATGTGCTTTACGTGAGCTGTGAGTAGTGGGTTGTGAATGTGCTTTACTCGAGTTGTGAATAATGGGTTGTGAATGTGTTTAATTGAGCTGTGAGTAGTGGGAGGCGAATGTGCTTTACTTGAGCTGTGAATAGTGGGAGGTGAATGTGCTTTACTTGAGCTGTGAGTAGTGGGTTGTGAATGTGCTTTACTTGAGTTGTGAATAGTGGGCTGTGAATATGTTAAATTGAGCTGTGAGTAGTGGGAGGTGAATGTGCTTTACTTGAGCTGTGAGTAGTGGGTTGCAAATATGCTTTTACTCGAGTTGTGAATAGTGGGTGGTGAATGTATTTTACTTAGTTGTAAAATGTGGGAGGTGAATGTTTTTTACTTGGTTGTGAATAGTGGGAGGTGAATGTGCTTTACTTGAGCTGTGAGTAGTGGGTTGTGAATGTACTTTACTCACATTGTGAATAATGGGTTGTGAATGTGCTTTACTTGAGTTGTGAATTGTGGGTTGTGAATGTGCTTTTCTTGAGTGCCCAGGCGGTGTAATCCTATGGGGCTGTGACGGGTTGGTGTTCTCTGCTTTGTTGGGATCTAGTCCTGCATGATATTGAGTGCTGGGACTGGTGTCCTTGGCATGTTATGCAACGTACTAGAATAGGTAAGTTGCTGACGGCGTACATTACTGGAATAACAAGTAGTTTTATCAAACTGGCTGTCTTTTTGGGTAGGAGTGTTTGGCGTGCGCCATTGTATTAGCGAGTTGTTTTTATGTTGACTGTAGACGTTTGATCATTCCAAACCTTATTTCTCATTCTGTAAAATTAAAATTTGGCTCTTTGCCCTTAACCACTATTTAGACATTCTCAGTGGAAAATCCATGTTTACCCTCGAGACTGTATTTGATGCCTTTAGTTTGTAAGAGTGGTGTCAGGTTTTATACACAGAATCTTATATATCTGTGGTTTAAATTGTGACATTTGTCGAGAAGTGTTGATTTGATTCAATTTATATTATATCGAATATCGTTCTCCTCAACAGGAAATATACAAAGTGATAATTATTCAATGTGAGGAATCCATGCGAAAAATACCTACATGTTGCAACTTTGCGTTGTTCCGAAATTATAGAGCGAGATGTGATTCGCCCACAGACCATTCCCACTGATCAGAAAATCATGTACGAGTTCCCGACACCAAGTGGCGTCAGGTTACAGCGTCGCTATGCTGTGACGTATTCCCAACGTTTTGATCCCTCGCTCAATCAATTCCTCAATAACCAATGCGGTCGGTATTTCTTACGGCGATTTCATCACAATATCAGGCTCAAAAATGCTTTTTTGAGTTTAAAATAGAAAAATTAGGTGAAATTCGAACATTTAAACCTCGCGATAATGTTTATGTCAACAAACCAATGGGTCATCAGGAAAGCAATATCTCCTCCACATAGCTTCTGTGCTGCCAGAATTAGATAATAAATATCCGCAGATAGCAAGTGTCAGTACCAACATGTATGTATCTACACCCATGTAGAGGAAGCGAGTCAGCCTCTTCCTCACGCTTCCTCTACAGCGTTGAGTTATCTGTGTGGGTGCATCAATGCGAGAGTATCTTGACGAATGTATCTGTACGGGTGTACGTTTGACCAGCATGTCAGTAGAATCGCTCAGTAGTTCTGTGACCCGACTGCCTCGCAGCTTGCTTTCCAGTTTATTTCCACTTCAGCTTACGATTATTTTTGGAAGCTAGGAATGCGAGTTTTTATACAGCTTTGCTTGTTGAAACGAGAACCTGTTTCTCTCCAAAGTAAAACACAAGATTCTACTTTAACAAACAGTGTATATTATGGTGGAACCACAACAGTCTACAGATCATTTGCATGCAAGGACCGTGCATTCTAAAATACTACGGATCAATATGGTCCTATCAAGTGACTACTAGCTGTCAGTTTGCATCCAACACACTACAACATTAAGTACATTAAGGCAAGCACTACGGGGCCACCAGGGTCCCTGTGCTCACAGTGTGTGCTTCCCAGGCCATGGGTCGTGCCTTATCTTTGGGAGATGTTGTGGAATTGTGACTCTGACATCTGACTTTATCTCGACTGACAAACAGGTTGTAGAATTGTGACTGTGACATCTGACTTTATCTGGACTGACAAATAAGCTGTAGAATAGTGGTTGTGCCATACAGTTTCTATTCGATACGAATTATGCTGAAAAATAGCGAATTATTGATAGAAGATTTACAATTATTTTCGGTGAATAATATGTTGCGGAATAGTTACTTTGTGAATCGAAACTTTGCTTGACAAGCAGCATTTTGTGACCCTGTGGCAAGTGGGTTCTGTTCTGGATGAACAATATCAATATACGATACAATATTTACGAATGACCTTTGTGATACGGAATGCGTGGAATACTCGGACCAATTACCGAACGTCGGGCATACGTAATGGTTTACGTGAATGTTGGTGTTTATTATTTTCACTTTTATCGTAAGATTTGATTACACATGTTAGTTCACAGTGGATTGTCCACTGGAATTGATAACATTCCTCTGAAATAACGTCTATCGAGTTATAGAATAACGCGTATGAAAAAGACACATTGCTATGCGACCAAAATGGCAGGCATACTCAATCTTGACATTCTGTACTCGATACCATATTTGCATCTCCTGGGTATCTGCATCTCTGGCACTAATATTGTCTTTAAACACGATCAGGACCACAGCTGAGACCAAGACCGTGGCCTAGCATTCGCTGCCTGAAGACTCGGCTCCCTGTATGTGGTGCAATGCGTGAAGCCAAAATCTCGTGTCCCTGTCTTGACATTACTTTGTATCTGAAAAACTCCCGGAGTTAAACCACTAATTTACCCTTTAATGCATAATATTATCATAAAATTAAAAAAACCCAAACGTTTCGTTCATTACAACAACCCCCCCCTTTCAAGTACTCAAGCATCGCATAAACATTATGAAGTGAATACGTTAATACTATTTATTTATATAGGGATACATTATTGTAGCAAGCCCTCCATTTATTGAAATCAGTATTGAGGTGTGCTATTTGTCCTGAACTTGATATATCGTCGTTGAACACTTAGATGTCGTATTCTTGTTTCTTCTACCACTCTCAGACTGCAATATTCCAGCTATATGACGGCATGGGGTGTAAATATTCAAATATGGGCCATACCTAACCTGACCACCTCTTACGACAAACAAATGTTGTTGAAAACCTGCGCTGAAGGCTAATTGTCAGCCGGATCTGTCCCAGATAGCATTCAGACGTTGGCCCAACGTCCGAATGCTATCTGGGGTGTCATAAACTTTATATCGGTGACATACATGAACAGTAAATTCATTGCCGTGATGACCGTTGTAATCATATCCACACCTGGCCGCCATTTTGTCCAATTAATACATGTTTTAATGATCTTGAACCTGTTCTTAGTGATCGCGATTGGGTATTGTAGCACTATGGCACAAACCAATACATTACGTAACAATCGAAGAGGAGGTTATGAAAGTTAGTGCTGGGTTATCAATCCTGTCTAGATCTGGTAGTCTGGCTGAGGTGCGTGATGCGAGACAGTGATGGCATCCTGTCTTCAGTTGCTCGGTAACTCAGACGCCACTCACCAACCATAACGGGGAATCGACACAAGGTGAAGCTAGTGCGAGTAAACAGCATTCTCCTTGCACAACAGTCGTAGCTCGCTATAACTGACTTCCTCGAATACTGCTTCTCACTAATGGATGTTCCTACCAGCTGGAGACTTTGTGATCGTGAGTCCTAGTGATCCGACCTCAGGGTCGAATGCCTGATTGGAGCACCAATATCTTGTGTCCAGGTGCTCTGGGGTACATAATGACGTATAGGTTTCAATTCAGATTCCACTGACTCCATAACGCTGCGTTACAGGATATTGTTTGACCAGTCATAAAGACTACGGGATCTTTTTGAGCGGTAACCAGATTTAGAGAATCTATTACATCGGTGTTCGCATGGTTAATCACTCTCGCTGAAAAGTGAGCTTATCGTGTTAACTTCTCCATGATATTTCGGTGCAATAAGATCTACAGACGCACTAGAACGCATCGCAGACGCATTAGAGACGCGCCACAGGGATACGTCGAGATCGCCGCAGAATGAATATTTGAGCGCAACAAGAACTTCACTCAGTTCTGATGATCCAGTATCTCTATACAGGCAGCAGTGTCACAGTAATATGGTGTTTATCGTTATGTCATTGATTCACTACAATACAAATTACAATCAAATGCTACACCCTGATTTGATGAACCCGTGAAGGTCCGGGTTAGAATGAGCCTTCAGTAACCCATGCTTTTCGTAGGAGGCGACTAACGGGATCGGCTGGTCAGGCTCGCTGGCTTGGTTGACACATGTCATCGGTTCCCAATTGCGCAGATCGATGCTCATGCTGTTGATCACTAGATTATCTGGTCCAGACTCGATTATTTACAGACGCCGCCATATAGCTGGAATATTGCTGAGAGTGGCGAAAAACTAAACTCACTCACTCCCTCTGATTGGATGACCCTGTCTCTGTAGATGTGAGCACACGCTACAGGTCATATCAACCACGAACCAAAGTGATATCCCCGAGTTAGTTGCAGTGAAGAAATGATTTAGGCATTTTAAATGTTATCGTCCTTACGCTTACTGTCCATAAGGTTTCTCAAACGTAAACTTAAAGTTCCCTGGTACCCCCAAACCTTCAGGGATTGACCCGGTCATCAGTACCCTAACTTACCCTGTATATCCAACTTTAGGGATGGACTATTTCCCCACTACCCCTAACTTTAAGGATGAACTAAAACCCTCGTGATGATACCCCTAACTTCCGAGGAGGACAACGTCTGCAGTACCTCAACATCCGGCATGGACCAAATCCTTAGAACTCCAAACTTGATTTAGCGTCTGATGAGGAAGATGTGAAGGTTGCAGTGTTTGCCGGGTCGTCGTGGTGCGTCGATGTTGATGTACCTTCCATCTAGTAATTACCTATCAAACAATATTTGATAATCAAATACAAAATATAAGATGTAGCAAAAGTGTTTAATACAAGTGCACTTAAGAACAAAGTCTTTGCATTTTCTGCAAGAGATTGGTAGGGGAACTTTAAAGCTATGCATTTAACCAAGTTTTCAACTCCTCACGACTCCTATTACCTGTAAACTAATGACGTCATTCATACCAGCTTACTTTCACATACATACCTAACTGATTTACCTTTATGGCCGGATACATATTAGTTTTACAAGGCGAAACAAATCGTAATGATTGTGTTGGATGTCGCAGCGACAACCCCAACAACCTGGCGACGGCTGAGAGTATCTATTTCAAACGGAGATAATTTTTCCTGTTTACAATTTTCATGATGCATGAAATGTTCTGTGGTGGAACGGTTCAAAGGCTTAATTTGTGTCCAGATAAGGGAAATCGATTTGTAAATAGGCTTGAAAGTAGGTAAATGCCAATGTTGGTACACTCGGCTGCTACACAAGAGTGTTATGGCGAGACTGTTTGGAAGAGATTCCAGTAAACAAAGAGTATTCCTTCTCACATAGGCATTAGTCCTCTGACAGCGCGACAAGTATCTAGTGAGGAATCGCTTTGATGCTACAGCTAGTGACGAGTACGGGCGTACCAATGTACACATAACAGGTTTAGACGTTGAAATATCCGAACGTGTTTTATACAGACACGCTTGTATGTGTGCAAGGTTGTCAGATGTTTGAAGATGTTGACCGACGTGTGTGGAAACTATCAACACGTTTTCTTCCAAACTGTCCAACGAGGAATTATAGTGTTTCAGCAAAGGTTTTATTACTGAATCACATTGTTCTTGTAAACTGACACGTTGTTGTAAGACATGTAATCTGGTCACATAGTCCAGTATGAAGCTTTGTTGCACGAAGATGAACCTTTGTAAAGCCACTGGATCCTTTTCCTTCTTGATCTCTTTCATGAAGACCATATGTCATTCATATATTTTACCCTGTCTTCAAAGCCGATATCAGATGAAAATGTTGCGATAACTTGCTTTACACAATTCCGCTGGAGAAGCCAATGAGCATTAATGTTAATGGTATCACACAATTTAACTTTGATCCAAGCTGAGTTATTAAAGAATCACTATGATCAATGTAGGCTTGAAGTATATACACCTATCAGTTTCATCAAGAATGAAAACTTTCCAATGTTTTCAAACATCAGCTGATGCAAGACTGATGTATAATTAGTTATGACACATCCCATTCTGACCTATGGGAAACAAGTTTTTCCCTTTGGTCGAACAAAAAAAAATCATCCTGATCAGAAAGGTTGCCTGTTTTTATGATAGAAGTAAAACTAGAAAGTGAGTCTGTTGCCCCATGAAGTATGTATTTATAAACATAGGGGAGGGGGGGGGCAGACAAAGTTTTGATATATACTATATATTAAAAGTTTGTCTGTTTCCCCCATGTTAATATGTATGTATATGTGGTCAGTCATATGATTGTACATATACATGAGTGTGGTGATGTTGCTCACAAAGATAAATGTACTGTTACTAGATGAAGGGAAATGGCCTCTTTTTAATGTAACCATATTTCATCGCATGCTTGAGATAACTTAGCAAATTTATATGATTTTTAACAATTATTCGGTATTCTGTAAAAGGATATCTGATATAGGTTGTTAAAGGTGAGCTATATAAAATCTGAGTCTATTAGACTTTGAAGGGAAAATTGTATTTTTTACTTTGTTCATGTCCTGTGGACATTACCGTCATCAGCATTGACATCTCAATGTGTGTATCTATATGGAGATGTAATTGACACAGAAATCGGTTTTACGTAACATCTCATTAAAAAAACTTATATTTTCACTAAGAGCAATCAATTAAATTGTTCCATGTTGAGTATTGCAGTAAATACAAGCATAGTTTATCATTATTGACCAAACTGTTGAGAGCAATATGTAACGTGTGGTGTTTATGTTTCCAGTGCTGACCATCGCTTGGACGAGCAGCGGAAGTCCCTGTGCGTCTTCCACCACGATGGCTCCATTCTATGGATGCCACAGGCCGTGTATCGCAGTTCCTGCCAAATTGACGTGACCAAATTTCCATTCGATATACAATCGTGTCATTTGAAATTCGGGTCGTGGACCTACAATGGACATAAAATTGATGTAGTTTTCTACGAAAACCACGACTTCATAGATCTCGCAGAGTACGTGACGAGTAACGCCTGGGAAATCATCGATGTGCCTGCAAATAAAAACATAAAATACTACAGCTGCTGCCCTGAGCCTTACGTCGACCTGACCTTCAGGTTGATCTTCCAGAGACGAGCCACCCTGTACAACTACATCCTGATCCTGCCGTGCGTCCTCCTCACCTCCATCACTCTCATCCTCTTCTGGATTCCCCCGGAATCACCTGCAAAGATGCAACTTGGTAATGCTATACTTCACTCATTGTCATTATAGCATTCACGTTTAATGCAAAATGAGCCACGATTTTAAATCTTATTAGATCTAAACCATCACATAAATGTGATTCACCAAACTTATTCTCATGCTTCTCATTGTTGCTAATGTTATGTAAGTAAAACGACAAAGCATGATGTCTCTTCACTTAGTCCAAGACCAGTAACAGCAATAGAGGCTACCAGATATTGTTAATGAGAAAATACTGCTTCCCTTTATGCTGTCCTTTAGTAGATATAGACATGTCTGTGCAATTTGGTATCTGCTTCTCTTTTGTCATGTATTTTTTTCTAAAAATCCCGCATCCTTTCACTGCACCAGATGTAGAGACTAATCGTTGCCTTCCGTCACACGTGCATGTGAGGGGTACTTCAAAGACAACAAGCTCTCATATTCTATTATATTTCGATCAATGTAATGTTATATTCCATACCCATTCACTCAATGTCACGTTTGATTAATGGTAGTATTTTAACCACATGCATGTCTGCAGTCAATGGAATAATTCATCTAACACACCTGGGTATATTACGTGCCTAATATTATTTGACACTTTAGACATTTTTGATGAATGCAACTAATCTGCTAATTTAACTACCACCCCGTGTTCCCGTGAATGTGTCTGTATTGGCTCTCAAACTGAAGTTATTGTTATGTGGATGCGAATATCAGCACGAAACAACACTGAAATATAAAACACATTACTTTAATGCGAATGTTTTCTTTATTCTTGGACGCTATATTCTCCTTTTCATCACAACAGATTATCATTCCATACATAGCCATCATGTTGGCAAGTTCGGCAAAGCTAAGGAGGCCATGTGCTTCTTGAATTCAGAATCACGGTGAACTCGCGTCAAGATGAAGCCACCTAACTCCTCTGTTAGTGAATAAATGGCACACAAATATATCTTACCATTAATGTTGTGGAACCGAAATGGAAAATGAGAATAACTAATACAAAAAGAAAATGCCTGTTAATTCTAACCTGATAACAGTTATCACCACGTGGATCTGTAAATGAACTGATGAGAAAATGACACATTTGATTAGGTCGATAAACAGCGCAATGTGTCATGAAAAATACAGATCAGTGTTGCAAAGTTTCTTTATTGATGTCTTCTGTGATGATTAAACTGGTTTTCCCTGACGAAGCCTCTCAATAAACATTAACTTGAAAGAGATGTAAACATGAAAATTCACTTTCGCAAATGAATGTAGTGCCGTGTTATTTTGCCATCGATAACGTCCACGAGGCCATGTGTTATGTGTTTTTATGGAATGTATAATGTACCATTTAATTAGGGGATATGCAGCTTGATATACGAAGGGATTGAAAGGGAGAAGATCGGTTCCAGATAAACCATGGGTGCCCGTTACATAGTGTTGGAGGGGTTTACCTGTATATATTAATGGTCTTTGGAGGTATTGACGTTTGAAAGACGTCCATGCAGAATATTTGGAAACGGCGTTGTTTTCTCCGAATGTTTATTCTCGCTAGATGAGGTATAGCGTCAATTATAGAGATGACAAATAGCAAATGTGTATTGTACAAATGTAACACCCGTAGATTCGACAATGATTTTGTAGGGCCATCTTCCTTTGAAATGGGATGTGTATATACTGCTGTCTAAATGCTGTCTATATATACCTTTTTCTGCATCATGTGTAGATATAGTGCTGTCTAAATGATGGGTATATATACGTAATTATTGCCTGAATGATGTGTATATGTAGTGATGTCTAAATGATGTGTATATAAACCCTTTTCTGAATGGTAAATGTAACCACACTTATGTCTGAATGATATATATGTATATTCTGCTGTCTGAATGATATATATGTATATTCTGCTGTCTGAATGATATATATGTATATTCTGCTGTCTGAATGATATATATGTATATTCTGCTGTCTGAATGATATGTTTATATGCTTCTGTCTCAAGCCTCGGTATCTAACGGGGCTGCCTATATGTACAAGCTTCAGTCTCCCTTAATGATATCCCATAGTCAAGGGATTTTGTATTTATACGCCTGTCTGGGAGTGATGTGTGCATATGTTTCAGCCTGTCAGGAGTTTTTGTATTTGATGCTGTCTGTAACAGATAACTTGCCGCCATTTCTTTTAGAAGTTCACCAAGACATTTCAGATATCAGTTTTTTATCAGCTCACCTTGCGCGAGGGCAGCATGAGCTATGTTCCTTCACGTATTTGCTGGGTGTTCATTGGAACGTCATCTTCATCCATGATTGTGAAGCAATGTATGATAGGGCAGTTTGTATCATTTCAAATGTTGGTTTTTATAACCTGGCTCTCTTACTCGCCACATAAGTCATGCTCCTTCCCATAAATGAACTTCTCCCCCAAACACTGCCGCAATGTCTGAACCTCTGAAGAGACGTTACGGTTTTTGGCCGCGCGTTTAATTGTGATTGTTGCGCCCTCTCGTAATCCAAATTTAACGCCAGGGAAGTCAAATTAGATGTCACCACCTTCATGGCCGGCACTGCTGCAGGCGGAGCTAAAACAACACCGCGGGGATGATAACCATATGTCTTTGTTGCTCAGACATCGGATATAACCGCCACCATCGCACTTCTTTGAGACAAAAGTCACAATAAGTGTTTAGTAATGATTAAAATCTCCGTCACTTGTCAGAAGTATCTATAACAATATGTGATTGATACTTATAGTAGTTACACGGTTGCAGCCCCAGCAGCGTCGGTCAACTTAGTCGTAATGTTGGGATCACAATTCCACGGGTTCTTTTTAACAGCGTGATTAATTAGGGTGTAGCATGTGCGGGGCTCAAGATCATAAATAACATAAAATATAAACGGACTGGTATCTTACTTTCATAGATAGCTATCCACAGAAATTACTTAAACTGAAACACATTGAGTACACTTTCACAAACAATATCTAGTAGTGTTTACGAGTATTCCAAATTGTATTCCTAATTCAAATATTCCTTGCAGCACTGGTGTGTTCCACATGACTAAAGATTGTATAGTAATAACAAATAATGATTCTCTCTGATGCAAAACTGTGACACAACTTAAATTTAGTTAGGTGAGCTTCAGAACAGTACATTCTACTTACCCTAGGCCTGTGTTAAGTGTGTTTACAACATTTTATGTTTCTTTTGTGTTCAGGGCTTACCATCTTCATAGCGTTTTTCATCCTGCTGAAACTTTTGGAGAAAAATTTGCCTCCCGGTACAACGAAAATGCCGGTACTAGGTAATCAAATTTTTGCAGTATGATCACTAATGTGTGAAAATGTATTACTTTTAAACATTTTTGGAGAATGTTTATGAACGATAAAATGAATAAGTTGTTGTAAAACATTAACTTAAGAATCAGAATTTTTACTTGATAACTGAGAAGGTGCTTTGTAAAAGTGTTTATACTTGAGAATCAAGTTGTGATAATATTCCATACAATTACTGCACCATGTCTGACCATGGCCGTGTGGTTGTAGGTATCTACTACTGCCTCAACATGGTCATCATCACCCTGTCCTCCTTCCTCAACGTGCTGGTGGTCAACCTTGCAGCATATGGTCAACGAGCAAACCTGCCCGCTCCGGCAAAATCAGTGAGTCGACAGTGCCTTGCCCCGCATATATGTTATCACATACCGATGGATTGTATATCTATAACGCATACCATTCGACTGTATATCTATAACGCATACCATTCGACTGTATATCTATAACGCATACCATTCGACTGTATATCCATACCATTCGACTGTATATCTATAACGCATACCATTCGACTGTATATCTATAACGCATACCATTCGACTGTATATCTATAACGCATACCATTCGACTGTATATCTATAACACACACCATTCGACTGTATCAGGTATACCACACACCATTCGACTGTATAAATATACTACACATCATTCGACTGTATAAGTATACTACACTTATATAATTGTATAATATATATAATTGTGCCGTTTAATATCGGATTGAAATAATATGCCACATTCCATCAGATATCGCATTTAATATTACCAATACCAGAAGTATATCTGATACTATTTCACAAAGTGAAATGTACCCGGTACACTAGACGGTATGGATTGTTTTTTTGTTCCTCAACACATTTCATATAATCCTGCCCGTGCCATCTTGTACTGTTCTAATACGATATGGTGTATGTTTTAGATCTAATAACTCACGCTTCGTGTTTCAGGTATTGTTTGATGTGTGTGCAAAGGTCCTCTTGATGAACGATCTCGTGCGGCCATTCAAACCGGATTCCCCAGGCAAACCAGGGGCAATCGTGAAGGACAAACTGGGAGAAATTGACAACAAGTGGAGCGATGATCCAATGGCATCGACAGAAGTTCTCGTCCATCTACAGAAAGACTCTAATCTAGCGCCACCCCCTGGGCTACCAGAGGACAATACGTTAAAACAGTCATCAGGACTCTTGGCCTCCATTGACACAAAACTGTCAGACTTACGGGACTTCATTCAGGGTCACAAGCAGCGGCTCTCAGACAAGGACAAACGGGAACGCCTCGTGAAGGAATGGAAAGCTATTGCTCTCATTCTGGACAGAATCTTCTTTGTTATATACTTTGGCATTATCGTTGCATCACTTGCTGTCATCATTCCAATCATCACCTTCAGTGTTCAGTACACCAACACAAGGATGGCAGATGCTTCGGCAAAATCTACATGAAAATCGTTGTCCCTGAAGTCTTTATCAATACATTTCCACCAGATGCCAAATTGCTTCATGGTTTGGTCTGCAAAGTTAAGGTGGATGACATGGTATTTACGAAAGCTTCCAAGTGTAATGACAATTGTTTGCTATAAATATATATTTACGTAGCGGTATCATTATGTAAAAGGATATTTGAGCATATGAAACAACTCATGCATCATTGAAACATCTTTGTGCACCAGTGCCATGTGCTGCCATTCAGAAAGGCAAATGTTTGAGAATGAAGTAATAGAGATGACATTTTACGGTGCAGATCATGCGTTCATCGAGACTGTGCAGTAAGACATGTATTTATAAATGGTGAGGAAGAACATTGGTTTTGAATAATTCATGAATAGGTATCCGAGATGTGCCTACCACTGTGCCATTTTTAAAGTCAGGCATCTGGAAGGACAAAATCACTTGAATCGATCCCAACGTTCCATTTATGCACAGTCAACAGGCTCAGACACAGGCTCAAACACAAGCACAGGCAGATGGAACAGTTGTGTCATAGCCTGTGCCTATGTAAGCCATATGTAACACAGAGACACGGGGATATGGACGCACAATTGTCCACGAAGCGTTAAACATGACACGCACTGACACTTAAGACTGTAGTACCTGTGTCTCAAATACGTGCTTTTGTGAAGCCACAGGCACAGGCACAGGGACATGCACAGGAAGATGGACAACCTAATTTCTTAAGTACGTGTGTTGTGAACTGTACAAGTTAAATGCCACAGGTACAGGATGATAGGCAGCCACTTTCATAAGTACGCTGTGTTGTGACCTACAAGCTACGCGTTAACAGCTACATGACAAACAGATGCATCATCAACCGCGAACAAGGCACCTTTAACTAGTATACATTCAAACTATATGCAACATGCACAAGCACGTGTCGTTATGGACATAGACATTTATACAATATAAGCTTTTGGGCTAATGTTTGACATTCTACAGTATCTGTCGTTAACAATATGCATGATCCACAACGGAAGCTGAAAGGGTAGGGAAGGGATGCTGGTAGCTCTCATCTAATCTCATCAGCGAGACGTAGTTGTCCAACTGTCGCCAGGACCCTGACGGCCGAGTATAATACGGGGATTGCTACTTCCACGATCATCCTTTTTAAGTGAATTATTGTGACTTTTTAGACAAACGACGTTATTCCACTTTTGTGATCCTTATTCCGGTAGTGAAATTGATCGTGTTCCATGGCTGTCCCTGAGCTATTTTACATATTCCAGCAATAAGGAAAAAAACCCATTACGTTGAGATTTTTTTCTTTGGACTGTCTTACATTCTAGCAATAGCATAGTGGTGATGCAAGAGCATCTGCTGATGTACCACAACATAGCATATTAAATGAAACGACATATAGCTGACAATCCCACTCAAATTGAATCGTCTGAATAAAGACATGTTCGAGTCAGTTCACACCTTGGGTAGCAGTCACATATAAGAACCATATAGTTAGCGTTCGGAATGTGGGGTTTCCAGATTGACGAGATCCACATTACCAAGGTTTCACAGATAAAGATGATACAGTATGAATCGAATATAAGCTAACATCCTAAGGGAGATGATTTCAATGCATTCAATATCAATTATGTTTATACAACGATGTCGATGTGTTTTAGACTGACATTGATATGTGTTTCATTGGGAGTTGTCGTTTGACGTCTTGACGTTACACAGAACGAGAAGGATGGCAATAAAATGGCACTTTGATGTAGTAACATTCATTATCAGTTTATCATTGAGGCACCTATAATATGTACCCAGGACGTTTTGGCCTGAAACTACATAAAATGAGGCCCTATATATATATATACAACAATTTGTCAGCGCTAAATCATAAACACAAACTGGTCAGCTCTGGAACGAAAGGTCAACTGCTAAGGACAAATCTGAGCCCAGTACAGTCTTTGGACGTAGAACAGTTAACGTGGCATTTGTTCAAGGACATCGGCCCAGCTGTCAGATTTTCTGATGTGGAGCTGTGTGGAGTATCGTTTCAACATGTGCGATAAATCCGTGTTTCTTTCAACAGGCCTTGTGAATATTGACACTACAATGTCTCTCAATGCTGCAATTCAGATATTCAATATCCTACGTAAAATGTCATATATGTGCGCTTTATGCCTTGAAGACAAGCAATTAAGATTTAGAGCGCGAAATGTTTTGTTTCCGCTACGACAGTAAATCATGTGCTTTTACATTCCTTAATTTCTTTCCGATCGTTCAGAAGTTTTATTCCTTCATTTGCTGGGCATGACGCATTGTAAACGCGGCCGCGCTGAACAGCCAGTATGTACATTACTCCCGCCACCTCCCCAAGTAACACATTACTCTGTAAGCTGCGTGTCCGCATGACGCGTCCAGCTCTGCGACATCTGCGTCTCCATATGACACATCACATCTGCTGGTTCCTACCACTCTTCGCTTTACCCAATATCTGGTGGTTCCTACCACTCTTCGCATTACCCAATATCTGGTGGTTCATACCACTCTTCGCATTACCCAATATCTGGTGGTTCATACCACTCTTCGATTTACCCCATATCTGCTGGTCTATACCACTCTTCGCTTTACCCAATATCTGCTGGTTCATACCACTCTTCGCATTACCCAAAATCTGCGGTTTCCTACCACTCTTCGATTTACCCAATATCTGGTGGTTCCTACCACTCTTCGATTTACCCAATATCTGCGGGTTCCTACAACTCTTCGCTTTACCCGATATCTGCTGGTTCATACCACTCTTTGCTTTACCCAATATCTGCGGGTTCCTACCACTCTCCGATTTACCCAATATCTGCGGGTTCCTACCACTCTTCGATTTACCCAATATCTGGCGGGTTCCTACCACTCTTCGCTTTACCCAATATTTGGTGGTTCCTACCACTCTTCGCATTACCCAATATCTGCGGGTTCCTACCACTCTCCGATTTACCCAATATCTGCGGGTTCCTACCACTCTTCGCTTTACCCAATATCTGGTGGTTCGTACCACTCTTTGCTTTACCCAATATCTGCGGTTTCCTATCACACTTCGCTTTACCCGCTATTTGTGGCTTCCTACCACTCTTTCCTATACCTGATATCTGCGGGGTCCTATCACACTTCGCTTTACCAATTATCTGGTGGTTCATACCACTCTTCACTTTAACCAACTGTTGTTTCCTACCACTCTTCGATTTACCCAATATCTGCTGGTTCATACCACTCTTCGCTTTACCCGATATCTGCTGGTTCATACCACTCTTCACTTTAACCAACTGTGGTTTCCTACCAATCTTCGATTTACCCAATGTCTGCTGGTTCATACCACTCTTCGCTTTACCCAACATCTGGTGGTTCCTACCACTCTTCGCTTTACCCGATATCTGCGGGTTCCTATGACACTTTGCTTTACCCAATATCTCCTGGTTCATACCACTCTTTCCTTTACCTGATATCTGCGGTTTCCTACCACTCTTCGCTTGAACCAACTGTGGTTTCCTACCACTCTTCGCTTTACCCAATATCTGCGGGTTCCTATCACACTTCGCTTTACCCAATATCTGCTGGTTCATACCACTCTTTCCTTTACCTGATATCTGCGGTTTCCTAACACACTTCTCTTCACCTGATATATACGGCTTCCTACCACTCTTTACTTTACCCAATATATGCGGTATCATACCGCTCTTTACATCACCAAATATCTGCGGGTTCATAGCACACTTCGCTTAAACTGATATCTGTGGGTTCATACAACATTTTGCTTTACCTGATATCTGTCTGTTCCATCACATTTATCCGATCTCTCAGTTGGACAACACACGCGTCCTTCGTTACCATTTGACACAAGTTTTCATTATCCGTCCTAATATAACACAATACAACTCATATCATACCCAGTGCAACATCACATATCCCACACGACACTATCACTCATGTTACACAATACAATAATACTCATGTCACACTATGCAATATCACTCATGTCACACAATACAATATCACTCATGTCACATAATACAATATCACTCATGTTACACTATACAATATCACTCATGTTACACTATACAATATCACTCATGTTACACAATTCAATAATACTCATGTCACACTATGCAATATCACTCATGACACACAATACAATATCACTCATGTCACATAATACAATATCACTCATGTTACACTATACAATATCACTCATGTTACACAATACAATAATACTCATGTCACACAATACAATATCACTCATGTCACACAATACAATATCACTCGGATCCCGCAATACCTATCGCACAATGCATAACACAGTTCACACAGTACAGTATAACTCACAGGACACAACATCACACATATCACATGTTAGCACACAATACAATTACACACGGTGCATGTACAATGTCACATATAACACACGATACAATTATATCACTCAGATAACACATGGCATACGATCACAACGTCTTGTTAAGATTCCATGTAACAGAGTTAACACACTACTGTAACAACAAATATACATATATATCTATATCAAATATATATCTTTTCATGCAACAGATGACACATCATACTGAACCCGTTACAGTACTGTTTTTCGCATCAGCGAACACAGTCGATGTTCTCACAAAACTCTCCATCAGCTCATTCCATATCACATAATGCCCTTTCAGTGATTTCGGTATCACCCTAAGGCTCATCAACCGTTTTCGTTTCACAAGTACGCCCCTCAAAGACTTCCTTATCACACAGTACGTCCATCAACATATCTTTATCACACATTACACCCGTTTTAAATGTTTCCGTTTCACACAAATATGTATCAGATAAACCTCCCCCGTATAACAAGACGCCCTATACACCCACGACACCGTGTCGTACGTTGCAAGTTGGACGCCAGTCTACACTAGACTACACATGGTGTCGTATGCTGTAATTTGAAGCGAGACATACACTGTGCTGTACTTCCATGTTCCTCCAAACACCCTTCTGTTCTTGCAATAATTTGATTCAAGAAAGCCCGTTGAATACAAAGCACTGTGCGTTACGCTATTATTCCCCCAAGCCACCATCATTATGGCAGTAGACAGAATGGTGCATGCTGTCATACATCGCAAGTCATCTCATCACCAACATCACTCCCTCCCAGATACTACGATGTGCCTCAAAACGCCCTGCCCTGTGCTTAACTGTGCCATAATACACCTTTTGTGTACTATCACTTGACTAAAGACACCCTGCCCTATACTATCATGTAACGCGATGGACACGACTCACTATGTCATATATCCTATGTCCTTGTGCATGTCAGTAGGAACACTTTACCACTGTCTTACACTTGCCAAAGACCACGATATTGCTGCATGTGTATCATACTTGCAAAACAGTTATTAAATGGTGCTAGATCTACTCCGTGTATTTGTCATTCCTTCGTGCTGCACTGCAGGTGAAACGTGCAGGGTTACAGTGGTCCAAGGCAACCTATCCGATGGGGTGGTCAGGTGAGGTGGCTAGATTGATGTCAACATAGCTCGACGGTGTGGACCATTGGTCATGGTACAGATCACTGAACTGTCTGGTCCTAGCTCCAGCATATACGGGCTGCCGTCATATAACAGGGGTATTATCTAGTGCGGGGTTTAACAGCATAACACACACACACACACACACACACACACACACACACACACACACACACACACACACACACACGGACGTATCTGGCACACTGAATGGATTTGGATACAGAGTATAATCAAAGGCAGACCAGGAGGGCAGTTGAAAGTGCAATAGACCAACGGGCAATATATAATATAGCGAAGAATTAAGCACAAAAAGAAATTAGATGCGCCCAGTATACCAACACGCTGCAAAATGAAACAAGGGCAATGTACCAATACATGAAATAGTGCAACGAGACACGTCCAGTCTACCAACACGTTACAGTGTGAAATAAACACAAACGCAGTAGAGCAGTACGTTACAGAGTGAAACAAGGACATACACAGAAGAGCAGTACGTTACAGAATGAAACAAGGACATACACAGAAGAGCAGTACGTTACAGAGTGAAACAAGGACATACACAGTAGAGCAGTACGTTACAGAGTGAAACAAGGACATACACAGAAGAGCAGTACGTTACAGATTGAAACAAGGACATGCGCAGTAGAGCAGTACGTTAGAGAGTGAAACAAGGACGTACACAGTAGAGCAGTACGTTACAGATTGAAACAAGGACATGCGCAGTAGAGCAGTACGTTATAGATTGAAACAAGGACATACACAGTAGAGCAGTACGTTACATAGTGAAACAAGGACATGCGCAGTGGAGCAGTACGTTACAGATTGAAACAAGGACATGCGCAGTAGAGCAGTACGTTACAGAGTAAAACAAGGACATACACAGTAGAGCAGTACGTTACAGAGTGAAACAAGGACATACACAGAAGAGCAGTACGTTAGAGAGTGAAACAATGACATGCGCAGTAGAGCAGTACGTTAGAGAGTGAAACAATGACATGCGCAGTAGAGGAGTACGTTACAGAGTGAAACAAGGACATACACAGTAGAGCAGTACGTTACAGAGTGAAACAAGGACATACACAGAAGAGCAGTACGTTACAGAGTGAAACAAGAACATACACAGAAGAGCAGTACGTTACAGAGTGAAACAATGACATACGCAGTAGAGCAGTACGGTACAGAGTGAAACAAGGACATACACAGAAGAGCA